AAAACATTGTAGTTTTCTATGTAACTTCATTATTTTGTCTACATTCAGTTGAATTCTATTACACTAAGTAAGCTTATTAAACCACGCTCACTGTATTCTGAAGCAAAAATTGAGAGGTTGCTCTCAAAGTGGAATCCTTTGGAACATCCCTCTGCAAGCTCTTGGTAAAAATGATGCAGCATTTCACCTGTCTCATAAAGCGATCTATTACACAAAAAGGGCTGGGAATAACTCTAAATCCTGAACTTCTCTTTCTTAAACCATTGGTTTTCTCCAGTAATGGTGAGAGCAGAGTGCTCTCTCGAGTATTTCATAACAAGAGCCCATAAAGTAGTAGGAAGCTAATAGGAAACCTTCAGGAGATTAAACTAGGTTCTCAGCAAGTGTAAATAGACATCGTGCCATTGCAGTGAGTTCATTCAGTTAATCTCGATGAAGTTTTTAGTAAAGTTTTTAGTAACCCAGTTTCCTCTCTGCGACAGTCCTTTGGTCCTTGTTCATATGGCAGGTTTCCAACATTGGCATGTTCTAATGAGTGCAAAATTTGAGGGAATAGAAACAATCCCAGGGCTGAAGAGAAAGAAAAACACAGTTGTATAGAATAGCACAAAAGTTGAGCAAAGACTGTATAATATAGCATTATAATATATCACTCAGACTGGTTGAGGTAGGAAGGGATCTCTAAAAGTCATCTTGTCCAAACATCCAAGCAGGGCCACCTACAGCTAGTTGCCTAGAACCGTGTCCAGATGGGTTTTGGATATCTTCAAGGATGGAGACTCCACAACCTCCGCAGGTAACCTGTGAACCTGTGCCAGCGCTCAATCAGTTGGATGGCCCTCAGTGTGCACTGGTGCACGGCATTGTTCCTCCCCAGGGGCAGGAATTTGCACTTCTCTTTGTTGAATATATAATGGTAGAGGCCTGGGGAGGAGCCAAGTCAGTGGGGAAGAGCAGGAGCAGCAGGACCAGTGGGGTCATGAGTGATACCCAAGAATGCTACAGCAATGGTGACTACCAGTTGCAGCGTGAGGCAGGCAGAGAGCAAAACCTGTGAGGACTAGACTGAGAAGCAAGGGGAAATAGGGAGGGAGAGAGAGAAGAAAGCCACTGAAAAGGAAACCTTAACAACATTTTCTGTCCAACGGGCAAAAGGTCATTTTGAAAAGAAGCAAAATACAGACATTTGCCACTTAGTTTTGTAAGATGAGCACGTGGAAAAGAACAAATTCAGAAGCCATGACACTAAATTTCAACATAACTGAAATCCTCCACAGTCTGAATCTATAATTTTGCTTCATCTTTAGACATAAATAAACAACTCGGAGATAACAGATGTTACCTGAACTACACATGCTTGAATGAGTAGTTCAGAGCCAGAAACATTTGGTTTTAATATAACCCACAGCATGGCATGGCCAAAATCACCAAAAAGTCTCTGCCTTCTTAGTGGTCACGGTATATTACAGATTCCGGGGGTATACTGGGTAGTAAGATAAAACGTTTCAATGCATTGGCTGTCATTTTTTCTTTAAATGAAGGGCTTGAGTACAGAATTCAAAACCCCACTTCACTATTTATACACTTTTATATTAATTGAGCATCCCCAGTTACATTGCAGCTCTATCCTCAATATTGTCTCTTCTAATCAAAGATCACATGTATCTTACAAATACAAAAATAATGTATATAAATACATACACACTGATCTCTGTGATGAATGAATCTAAAATTAAAAGGGCAACTGAGAGAAAATATACCTCTACATTATGAGAGTCTCAAAATGGTACCTAGACTGGTCACTCCAACATAGGGGAAAAAAAAATTGAAAGCCAAGTTCAAGACCTAAGTTTAAATTATACAAGAAGCAATGACATTAAGTTTCAGTCTACCTTTAAGGAAACAATTAAAAATACTTAAATTTTGCAACCAAGAATGACAGTAATCATAGACCTGCCTTAAAAACTATTGAACTGGTCTGTGCTGACTCTAGTCTACAGGCAATGACACAGTATTTTTCTCTGATGTTTCAAAAATTGAAGAAGGTTAAAACTCGTCAATAGAATTTGATCAGAACAGCAGAGCCAAGGCTGAAAGAAAATACAAAGTGACACAGTGGACTGAAGCTACCTGCTAAAATCTGCAGAGATTTTAACTATTTCAGAAGAAACAAGCAAAAGAAGTCCTTTCTGTTTCAATCAAAATAGGTTATGAGTATTTTTGCACCAAAGGCCTCTTTTGTCTTCAGAGCCGTGGCAGGTCTGGAGCCAGCCTGTGTGCTTGCAAATCTTTGCTGTAGCTAGAGGAAAGAAAGAGAAGACAATGCCAGAATGCTCTCGCTAGCCCCAAACAAAGAATCCAGCCCTATCAAAGCATAGCTACCCTCAGTTCATGCTGCTTTGTTTCTGTCGGTGCAGGATATAAAAGCATCTTTGGCTGCATGTTTTGATAACAGAAATGAGTACCTTGTCGTGTTTTAAATCAGCAGCTGAAAGACTTCTTAAGCAAACGTGACAGCACTTGAAATGTCCCATGCCGCCACACTTAAGATATGCCAATCACAATTAATAGCAACAGATTTGCTATTCCAAAACAAATAAAACCTGCAGAGTTTTTCTGCTGAATGAAGGGCTGATGAGTGAAAACAGAAGCAAAATTACCACAATAGCCAGTTAGCCTGTCAATGGAAATTACTTTCATTTGTCTGTATTCACAAGGGTTAGTAAACAATAACGCTTCAGCTAATATAGTTTTTGTTATATTCAAATTGAATGTGAAATACAGGCTGACATTATAAATGGATCTCTTACTCTCTTGCACTGGATTTCTGAGGTTTTCTGAGTCTTTATGTTTAAATAGCTCTGCAAGTTTCATATATTTTGATATTAGCTCTTTAAATTTGGGTCTTTTTTCCTTCTAATAAAGTAAGGACTGTCCTGCTTGTCATTTGAAGGAGAGATGTTATCTATAGCCTCCCCTCACTCAGTAGGAACCAAGTGACTATTGTACATTATTCTAGTGGATTCTAAAGAGTTGTGCTGAACATCCACTTGGTAGGGTGGTAAAATCTCTCTCTCTGTAAATAAATGCCTCTCACCTTCCAAGCTCTGTGCTCCCAGCTGCCATGTCCCACCAGCAGGTTTTACTAATACTGAGTTGCACCTCATTACTGTCTTACCATGGGGAGTGGATGCAGAACTCCTTCAACAAATTCCTTTGCTTTGCTTTTCCCAGTAAATTCTGCTTTTTTGTCATCTGGTCCTACTTCTTCTCATCTAACTTCTTCCTCATCTTCATCCTTAATTCAAGGCTTCCCTCTAAGCCCTCATTTTCACTGACTGGTCAAAAACCCCTTGTCTTTGGAAGCTAACTGAGCATCTATTGAAGCGCTCCCTTCCAGGCTACTAACTCTGGACCTATGACTTAGGAAACTTCTGGGCACCAGGCAACACGGACTTACTTGGACAGACATAAGGCACACAATTCAGATAAGAATTCATGAGACTGAAGTGTGTGATTAAGCTAACTTTACCTCCTTTAAACCTTTGCTGGGCAGTCTCCTATAAAGCTTTTAGGGACTAATGATGTTGGGAGTACAGCAGGGATGCTAAGGCTAACACCAAGTGATAAACCTATGTAAAATTACTCACGTTCATGCAGTAAAGAAATTAATTCACAAGTTTTAACCTAACAGGCAGACAGATGTAGTGAGTCTAGTTTTGTAAAGGACCAACTGCTCTCTCACAGTTGGATTCCCTAAACAATTACACTGGGAATAGTTTGGACAGAAAGAAAACTTTATAAACCCACCCACATACATTCAAAAAACTTTTGTAGTTATCAGCTGGCTCTGAAGTCTTCGGTTTTCTTGAAAAAAAACCCACAACAAACATGAAACAATCTCATCAGCTTTCCTCAGCTGGCCATCAGTGCTCAATGCAAATGATAGTTTTAAAACTGATGTCTCCAGGTCAGAAACTCTCAGCTTCAGCTTTTCTTCTTTTTTTGGATGGTAGTGTTAATTAGTTTTTTTCCCTTCTAGGAAAATGATGATTTTCGTGCATAACTTTAGCTTTTATAGATGTCATCTCATTGTTTCTAACAGGGAATAATATGATTTCTAAATTACATGTTGCCAGTGTTACATAAATATGATGCTTTCACCTACAGCATTCCATCCAAATTCATGTTAAAATCCAAAAAACTATCTGGGAGTTTTGAGGCTGGAGTGGCTATGGCTCTTTGTAGAGCAGATGCTCCGTGCAATTACAAATAGGTGTACCTGCAGTGCCAGTAGAGACTGACGAACAATTACATGGATATGCCAGAAGGTATTCATTCTGTTTTGTTGACAAGTGTTATTATCTAAATCTTCTTTGTTCTCATATGAAGCTATGTTTTCTTATTCTATTTTGCATTACAACCCTAATTCGTATACCAGAATTTTAAGCAGTATATACCAAGCCAAGATCTGTAGTCTCTGATGTCTTTAGGATGCATGCTTAAACCTCTGCCAGAAGAGGTAGATTGTGAAGGACTTGAGTATATATACAGAACTGGGGAATAGCCTGGCTACACCAGATGCTAGAGTGGATTGAGAAACCATCCAGGAAGATCAGAGAAAGTTGAGTGTAAACATTACATAGGAAAATTGAGATAAATCAGAAGAGGGAGGAAAGAACATCAGATACAATAAGACCATTTAGCACTGGTGACTAGTCTAAACTTAGTTCAAAAGCCAAATCCCAACATTTGCTGTCTGACCACAGAAGAATATAGCAACTACAAATGAAAACAAGCTAGCACGTAGTGCTCCGAACTTCTCATGCTTCCCACACTGGGCAGCCAAATGTCTTAGAAACCTTACAGCACAAGGCTTTCCAGTGCTCCCAGTCCCTTGTGGGCTGTGGGAGAGAGGCAGGGAAGAGGAAGGTCTCTATAACAATAGGGAGGATATAAAGGGTTTCTCTCGGAGGCAGAGTCTCCCTCCGTTCTCTTACCTTGTTGCACAAAAGATCCGTACACAAACCACATGGAATTATAGAGGGTTGTGGAGGTCATGGATCCCATCTGAAGGCGTGGGGGGTTGAGCCAGTTCAAGAGGTAGACCAGTAGCCCTACTAACAGCACAGTGCCAGCTATGCATGCCCACAGGGAGAGGTCAAACGGTGCCAAGCAGGCAAACATGTCCACTGTCTTCTCCGCTTTTCGAAGCAGCACGCCCACTGAGTAGTCCATGTAACGTGTTGTGAAGTCCACCACGTTTTCCCTGTCGGGGGTGATGGTTAGGGCAGAGATCCCTATATCAGCTCTCTGAGGAAAGAAGGAGAGAGAACAACATGCGTAAGTAGGAGCTACAGAAAAGGTCTGCTGTCCTCTGTAAGTTATAGCAGCTAAACTTACGGAGAAGCAGATGCCAACGCCAATGTCTTAAGCATAATATATGTGAACACAGAAGTGTAACTAAGGCTTGAACAGAATAGCTGTACCACATGCCTTAGTTTCTGAAAGCAAACCTCACTTGGTCGACTTGGGTACATTAGCTCTCCGCATTGTTATTTTCCAAGGAATCAAAATACTTCCAATGCAGATAACAGCTGGAGGAAATCTGTTGCCGGTCATTTTTCTCACCCTGGCTTACTGAAGCCATCATTGTCATTGTGGCAAAAAGCAGACCTTGCGTATAGCATTTCCAATCAGAGGAAATCAGTTCCCTGACAGAGCCACATGATATCCAACATTTTGATGATGTGATGATCACAACAAAGGGCCACTGCACTGGGGGCACTTGAAATTCTGAAAAACATCAATTTTGGCTGCAGAGTCTGAAGTGCAGAAGAGCAGACATTCCATGCAGTTCCTTTACTATTAATTTCTCTATATCCTCCTGCTAAGTAATTCCTCTCTATGCCAACCTGTCCTGCGGCTACCTTGGACTTGCTTTGTGCCATATACATTTTTTGTAATTTAAAGAAGCCATTTCAGATGAGAAGAGGATCAATAACATTCCTTGATCTAGTCATTGTATTTCACAGCATGCCTGGGTATTAGGTCTCCAGAGACACCAGGTGCAACTACAGCAGGTGCTATTTTACTTTTTACAAGTAGAATTAGAACTGCGGTGAAAACAAGAAAAGGTATTTAAAGCAGCCACATTAACACAATTTAAAAAAGCCCAAATACTGAACAAAAATACTGTAAATCCTAGATATTTTAATATGAAAAGGAATACTTAAAATACTTTAAGCTGCTACTAGTTTGATTTAATCCTTTTCTGTTCTGCCTAAAGCAGTGTGTGGTCCTTTGGATGGGGGTGAGGAGAGCACAGAGGCTTGAAAGTACTATGTCAAATTTTATTAACTCTCTTGAATTTCTTTCTTCTTGCCCATAGAAGGCAGAGATTACTAGTTCCTTAGAACTGTGATGTGAAATATTAAGTGGAAAAGTATGGCAGCTGAAAATCATTAGAATCAAATTTGCAGGTCATCTGGGCTTTTTTAATACCATCTGCCAAACACTTTGCAGTCCATGGTACAAACATACTTTTAATCACAGCGCACTTAAGACTTCTGTTCAAATGATGTTACTTTATATTAATTGTTCACTGGCTTGAGAAAGTGGCAGAAGATAGCTGGAGGCCTGATGATTTGGACAAAAAATGTTTGAAAATATTGATTTGCTTAAAAGCCATGAATTAAAGCTTCAGCTTTAATTTGTGGGCTAGATTCTCTAGTATCTTAAGTGAAGCTGTGTTGATGTGCACAGCTGAAAGCATGGCTTCATGAAATCACTTCATGTCCCTTCCTAACAATTTTTTGTGAGTGATGATTTAACTACACTTTGCCCATGGGCAGCAGCAAACTCAGTCAGTAGTCCAAGTAAAAATTTCATCAGAATTGTCCATAGAAACATTCAGATCATGAGTTTCTATTCTCAGATTATAAAACTTCTGGTCAATAAGTGACACGGGTGATTCACAGTATCTGCTAACGGCTAAGTCCTAGCTCCAGTGAGCAAGTTGCAAAGTAGGCATCATTTGAATTGTTTTCCAAAATTGTGAATATAAATGTATTTTTAAAAAAAATTTACAAATGTAAAAGTCCAATGCTCTATACCAATAGTTGTCAAAAAAGAAAATATATTTATATTTAAAGAATAGGGTTTTTTTTTTCCTGAATGTATATCAAAAAGCAAAATAGGAATTTAGAGGAGGACACACAGAAGCAAAAAGCACTAGGCTTAGCCCCTGCTGTTTAATTTTAGCTGTGTTATTAATTACCAGCATGTTACTAAAATACTTCCCTACCACACTAGATCACTGTAAGGTGGTAATTCAAGTTGTATTTGTAAGATTTTTAAAGATTCACCACTGAAAAGCAATATACATAAGTAAAGATACTTTTACCAAATAATAGATTGCTGTAAAACCGAACGACTAATAGAATTTCTTCCTGCTTCTTTTTTTAAGAGTAAAATATTTCTCCGTGAAATACATTGAAGGGTATTGCATGAAAAAGCACAGTATGTGGTATTTGTGGAAATACTACTTCTATTTTACATCTCTGGAGAGCAGCCTCTCCAAATTCCCCAGCATTATGGTTCCACTCTGGTTATCGGCCAGCTACGACAGAGGAACAATGTTGTCCTAATGGAAATGGTGCATTTCCTTTGTTGTACTGCAGCAGCAATCATGATATAATTATGTCCTGTGATTAAAGAGTGCTAGTAAAGTAAAAAATAGAAAGGAGAGAGACAAGTCCTGACTCCTCAGCACTCCTGTGTTTAGTTGTTTTTTTAAAAAAAAAAAAAGTTACACTGAAACATGACAACTCATATTCTTAACTTATAACCTGAACTATAAACATCAGTTTACCAGAAAACTCTGTGTTTTGCACAAAACCAAGCTTAAGCCTAACTTAACAGTTGATCTACCGATAGTGAGTATTCTTAATTACATATAGATTCTGTCAACTTGCATCAAAATTGGAAGATGAAAACATGTCAATGTTTGTCACTAACATGTCATATTGGATCAGAGAAGACATGAGTTTGAAGAAGTCAAGGTTCACTTAGTGCTTCTGAGACAGAAAGGCAAATGCACGCAATTATATCAATATTTAGATATAAAGCTGCCAATCTGAATGATAAACATGTAAAACTCCACTCACTAAGTTTTTGCAGTGCCAAAATCAACCAACTATCAGCCTCTTAGATGTCTAACACATTTCTGATGAATGAAACTGTGACTCCTGAAACTGCCTGACTGAAAAAAACAGCAGAGGGCATTATTTTTCTTTACGTGACCTGCTTAGGAATTTGTATTCCTTAACAGCTGTTCTCCTGAGGTCATTGTAGAGCATTACCAGAATCAGAAAATCCACAATAAACGACCAAATGGGTCTGATAGCATTGTTACTGGTGTCACAGAACCAGCTCATCAGCGAAGCCTAGAAATCTCTGAAATGCCCCTATGCTATTGTTTAAGCAAGCACATCTCGTACACATAGAAAGCAATCTTATGATGATTCCTGTGGTTCATGATCAAGAACAGGGAAAATAAATGAAACTACTTTAAATTGTTCCTGTGAGGCCTTTCATTTTATCCATTTTCAATGTTAAATCAAGTTTCAACAAATGCTGGAAGCAATAAACTGCAGTCGCACATGTTACGAAGTTATTAATATGGACATGCAAAAATTAATCAGAGACACATTTTTGCTCAAGTTAACACACATACATCCAAATAATTCTCCTTTTATTCAAGCTGTTAGTTTTTCTTCTCATTTTGTCCTCCGTGTATGCCTTCTTCCTTCCTACACTACTACCCTTTGAAAGATGCATAAAAAAAGAGCCTCATAAGAGGTTTCTACTTGGCTTGCAGTTTCTCCTAGAAATATTTAGGCATGTATTTAGTTTTCCTTTTCTGATGGACCTAAGTGGACTTAGGCAGTTTTCCCTGCTATTTGCTTCCTGATGGCCCCTCATTGGAAAAAAACGTGAATACCACCGGGCAGTCCGGAGCCATGTTGGGAAGCCTCTGTCCTCCCCCAGAAGCAGCATCAGCCACTTCTCTTGCCCATCACACAGGCTTATCCCCCTGGTAACGCGGACTTGAGGGCAACTAAAGGAAGTGCTGTGAAAAGACACAGATAACTAACAGCAAAAGAAAGATTTGCAGTTAACTGTTGCTCCCCTGAGATGGCTTTAGCCTCTCCACACAAAGCTGCTGCTCTCTGAACTAATCCTGTCTGTGAGCTGAAGCTCTGCAGGATGCACTGAAAGCCATGGTCATTTGACAGGAGAGGGGCAAGAGCACCATGTGCTTCTCTCAAAGAGCATTTATCCTCTGTAGACCACCTGGTTCAGGCGCTCAGCAAACAGAAGCCTTTCCATAGGATGGTTATACTCAGTTTACTTTGACAGGAGGTGGTGTATGGAGCAAGGGATGTACCTAGTATAGGTCTTAACAATCAAAGGAGAGAAGGCTTGAATCAGTTTCCAAATTCAAATTAAAGACCAGTTGCTTTGATCTGCTGATTCCAGCTCCTATTTTAGCAGCCAACAGGGACCTTGTCTTGAAAGCTGGAACAGAGTGAACTTGGCATGATATCATGTCTGTGATGCCAGCTGTGGACCTAGGGCATGTACTTGGCACCGCAGGACTTCTGCCCTGCACTGCAGCTCAAGGAGGGCTGCTGCCCACGAGAGGAGCCGGGGACTGCTCTCACCGATACCAGGGTCTGCATCAGGGCTCGCTGCACGCTGAATCAGGTTAATGCAAACAGCATGTATTGATCTTGAACACAGATATTATGTGCTTGCTACAGCAACCGCCATTTCATATGGCGCGTCTTCCATAGTGGCCACAGACATCCTTCTCAATGAGATGCACTCAAAAAGAGAAGGCAGCTATTTTCCATTACCCCTGAGCAGGCCTTGTCTTTTGCAGAAATACATTGTTCCCAACTCGTTTCTGGCTCATGCAGTGACAGGCAAAGAGCACTTTCTCTGTTTCTGGATTTCCTCCACGTGTTGGCCAGACTATCATGTAAGACTTGGTTGGGAAAACAAGGAAACGCTTTGTTTTAAACAGGTTAGACCTTTAATTTAAAACTATTCTCTGCTCCTTTGCTTCCCCTTACAAAGTTGCCAAGCAGATAGATATTTGAGTTCTGGGAGCAGAACTCAGTTCACAGTAAATAAGAAAGCAGCCTTTCAAGAACAGCTTGCACTTGGTAAGGGGTAGATACACACTGGCTGCTCGCCCAGGGGTTCTCTTTGGCCTTAAGAGGGACAGAGAATGGGAGAGAAGGACACAGTGAACCTTTACTGTTAATAATATAAGGGGTAAGGAAGATAAAAAATTATACACTGCCATAGTATTGAGAAAACCTGTTTTTTGAATTCCAAATGCAGTTCCATTAACTCTTCATACTTTCTGACCATACAGAGAGATTTAATATCTATTAAGACTCATTTACAGCAAAATTGTAGCAGACTGGTAAATCTGTTCCAGTCATGACATCTATTTACAGATCTAAGTGGTTACCACCTTAAGTGTGTTATTAGAGTTATATGAGTCCCTGCCTACTAAGGGGACAAGAACGCCATACATATTTTTCAGTGAACAATTTGATTTCAGTTGTTATGAGTTCTGTCTTATGAATCATTCATTTAAAATAAATAAAAAATATTCCAGGTCCACTTCCATCTCCAGAGCCATCTACAATTAAGACCCCTCCGGCTTGTGTTAAGCAGTGGCCTGCTGAGTTCTTGGCTGAGTACTGTAGAGAGTATAGTAGAACATCAGATTTAAGGAGCAGAAAAAATGGTACAAATAAATCAATAGGCCACTGTGGTGTTACGTCTCATAATTAGATGAAGGATTTTTAGTTATTAAAGTTCAGAAGATGGAGGAAAATACACTTTTCTAAGTGGCTCCAGCTTACCATCTATGATCACAGCATTCCACCTTCCAGCCTTGTATGGGCATAGGCAGAGGGCAAAGTAAGTTTATTATTACGATGTAGATGTATGAACCGTGCCACCGGTACGGCCATATGTGGTTGTTTTCCATTCCTACTGCTCAGGAAGGCAGAATAGGTTAAACCTATCACTAATTCTTTTTCCCATAGGGATAATTTTTCATTTTTTTGATTTCTTTTTCCTTCTTTTTTTGCCTTTACTGCAAGACTTATTTTCCAGCATTTTGCTAACTTTTAGCTGAATTATTTAATGATTAGGTCCTGTTACTGACCACACTCCTCCTTATTATTTGCTGTGATTATCAATTAAATTCCACCTGTAGATTTGGAAAAGCACTTCCATAACCAAGCAGTAAGTTATTTACATGAATATCTACTGCAGTTATTTAAGGAAACCAGCAAATGTAGGTCTCTATATCTGTAAAAGCTGCCTCTACAAGTTAACTAAGAGCAAATAAACTACATATGTTCATGGCACAAATGAGACATCAGCAGAATAGAGTCTGCATAGCCCTTTGTCTCTCAATGGGAGAAACTGCAAGCAGATAAGATGTGAATAGTGGGAAAAAAGAAAAATATGGCACATTTATTTGGTTTAATTTATTTATGATACAATATGGCACATTTAATGTAAAATTAAGCTAAATGGTTTATTAATTACAGAATAGAGAATACACTACTCTTGATTCATACATCTGCTTAATGTGTTATTATATATCAATAAAACATTTTCTGTTGATTATATACTTCACGTATTCATCATACCAACATTTTTCTAAGTGCTATACATTATTTATGTAATGTATCCCTAATTACTGCAATACCAATCTTTCCTCTTTCGAACAGCCTCTTCAACTCATTTGTGTCAGGTCTTGCCAAATTAATTAGGATGCTGTGCATCCCATTATTTGCCTGTATTCAGATTTCATACTGCTGTACTTTGATTGGAAAAAAGAGATTGCCCTGCTTCTTAAATAGTTACCAGCAAGCACTGTTTCCAGCTTTTTCTTTACTGCCCAATGCACCTGGGCATACTATCAAATGCTGGTGACATGCAATGGACAAAGTGCTATCAATGACTCCTTAAAAAAGGTTACTGGCTGATGCAAACATAATATACCACATATTACTTAGCTTTATCACATGATCTTATTTAGTAAGTTATTAATAACCTTACCTTAAATACCAGTTCTCCTATCAGTCCATTCCATGACCCATCATCCTGAGGACTCCCATACTTGTGATCCGGTGCAACATAAATTTCATATTTAAAGCCGAGGTAAGTAGCCAAGGCTTCCAACACGTCTATTGAGAAGCCTTGATACTTCTTCGGTTTTCCCAGAACATTTTCAGACACCATGACAAAGGGCTCTTCCTAAATAGAAAACAAAGGAAGGAACTGTTAGTAAAAGCAATTAGATACCATGTTGGGTGCTGGTTTTTTTAAGAAGTAAAGGAGTAACTATTTAAAAACTGTTTATACAAAACTTTCCAACACCACATTGCTAGTGGTGCCCTCTTGCATTCCATGAAATGCTATTTTGTTTTGTATTTACTTCAACAGAGAAATTTTATTCTCTATTATGTATTTCAGAAGTAAATCTTCTGTTGTAACATCACAACTGAAATGTTTTTCAGTAATGCCTTCTGACCACACTTATGCTTGGCACAGCAGACATACACTCATGTGTCTATCCGTAAATACAGAGGATTCTACAGCGCTGCCAGTTTCCGCTGGCTGGGCAAACACCGTATCTGACAACCGCAACTACTAATTCATGCTGTAAGGAATGAAAAACATGGCAAAATAGGCCATAGCACAGAAACATGCATTTCTCTTGTCCTTCTACTGTAATCCAAATTGGAACATAAGCCGGTTGATTCGAAATACTTCTATCTAAAGAGTATCCATTTGATTAGTCTAAGGAGAACCAATTATGGGACTTAAGTTTGTCTATAAGAACGATTGGTGAATATTCATCAAAAAGATGACCATAATAAAGAATACAAATAGATACTGAAAGTTGGAATTGGTTGGTAAGATTTCCAAACAATATACCTTGCTTTTCCTTTTCCCCAAGACCTGTAACTCTTTTCTCTATTTTTTAATTAATATTTCTAATAACTTTTTCAGACAGAACTGATTTTTTGGCTAACTTTAATTTCTTTTTCCCCCTCTCTATTATTCTTCCTGTTGAGTATTTAATTTCTAGACATTCTCCTTCATGTCTTTTAAAAATGAAACACAAAAAGAGATCATATGTCTGAGCACAAAAAATATATTTGCCGTAGATGGATCTCACTTATGTTTGTTTTTTATTTTCTCTGAGAACATGTCTGATCTACCTAAGTAGAGCAAAAGTATCAAATCCCCAAAAAAGCATGAGGGCAGTGTAACACTTAGTTTTTGTTTGTTTGTTTTAAATATGCTACATGTCTTCCTTTTAATTTGTTACAAGGAGCTGTAATTTAGTACGAGTTTATCAGAAACATCTGTTCTGAGGTGCAAAAAGTTAGTTCTGGCTCCTCATGGCTTGGCCATGACAAGCGCAGGAAACGACTTCCTGACTGCGTCCTGCTAGTCTGCACAACCCACAAGCACACAAAAGAAAATAGAATTGATTTTCTGTAGTATTTGTGGACCAAACTTTAATTGTATCTCCAGAGGTATTTTTGCTGGTGTTTAAATGATTTTTTTTTTTTTTATTATTCTACTACTCATCTCTGTCAATGACTTTGAAGCCAAAGCAGTTTTCAAAAATTTTTCTCTAATATTTCACTAAGTATTTTTAGTTTGTTAGTATGTCACTCTATATGAACAGGTGTCACTGAATTGCAGGCAGGATGTCATTGGAATAAGAAATCATCATTTGTAAATGCTTGAGTTAACGTTCATGAGGATAGCCACATGCTGAGGATGCTGCCAAAGAAGCAAGGATGCAACCAGACGGCACTGGTAGGATGTTCTTTTCTGACTGCAGGAAATCCAGAAAAAAAACCCTCAACCTCCCCAAATCAAAACAAAACCCAAAACAAACCAACCAACCAAATAAAACCACCAGAAAAAAAAAAAAAAAGCAGAAGGGTTGACTGTCTCAAGTTATTATTTCCCAGTTTTCAGACAGTATTTCTTTCTCCCAAATTATCCAAGATCAGCCAAATGGAATAAAAATGGAGGACAGCAAGTACAAGTGAATTTTTAAAGTAGTTTTCCAGTGCCTGGGTTCCAAGAACATTGAAGAAATTGAGTCTAAGTTGATGAAAGCCTCTCCTAGATGAAAAGGCAGAGAGAATTCAGCTTTGCTGATCACTTGGATGAGAGATTCCCTACATACAGACTCAAAACTACTGGAAAGAAATGTTTCCACAAAAAAGAAATACTGTAATTTATCAATCTAAGCACGCTATGCACAAAATTCTAAAGATCTGTGTGTACAAAGGGTGTTTTAGAAGTTGATCATTTTCATAGTAGAAAGGATTTATTCTTATATCTTCTAAGTTATTAGAAAATAGTTGCTCATAAACTGAATTTTTACTCAGTTAAGAAGCAATTGTTAATTGTACTGATTTAAAACACTGTTTAAAATGCAGTTTGTCATAACTAATTTCAGTCTTTTATTAAGCCATGTAATTTTGTTTGCTGTTGAGAGATTTACCAAAAAATCCCAATGTCCAGTGTGCTGTATTTTTAATGAACTATAGTCAGATAGCTTTACACAAAGCAACTAACACTTCCCAATTTCTGTCGAAGCGTGGAGCAGCAAAATATTTAATCATATTCTAAACAAAACAAATCTATTGGGTTTTTTTTGGTAATTGTTTACATTTCTCAGAAGGCATTGAAAGAGGACAAAGTATTTGTCTTGATTTTTTTCTCCCATAAATGCTGCAGGCTGAAACTATGCAGTTGTCCTTTTGTACGCTGACAGGGTGTTATGAGAGCTCCTATGGAAAGACACATACATCCCTACAACATTGATGTTAAAATGATTGTCTCCATCCTTGAGAACGCAAATCTTGTAGACAGAAAATATACAAAATCAAACCAGCCAATACATTTCTCCTACTGAACAGAAAAACAACAAGAATAAAAAGTAAAGCTCATAGAAAGTAGTTGTCAAAAACTGACAAGCTAATTGATGAGTTTGAAGGTGGTAAAATTCACCTGGACGATGAATCTTCCATTTGACTCCAACAAATTCAAGAAAATCCTGATACGCTTTCTCTCCAAAGCAAGTGATAGACCAGACTACATAAGCAGGTCTTTCTCAGAGAAGCCATACAATCTCCATCCTTGGAGACTCTCAAAACTCACCTGGACACAGTCCTGAAGAACCTGCTCTAACATTAACCCTGCTACACACAGATGTCATTCAAGGGTCCCTTCAAACCTAATTTGTTCCAGGATGCAGAGAAGTGACCCAAGGAAGGTCACTGTTCCTGCTTCTCCTTTTCTTCCACTTTTGGAGACACCTCTCTAGGGGACTGATGAGCCTCTGTGGGGCAAGAGCAGACTTCACAGCCTGTAAAGTCAGGGAAGTCTGAAAAAGCAAAGTAGTCACAATGTGCATGACTGAGGAAGACAAAAGAAAGGAAATGAATGGATTGCTCCTCCTTAACTTCTTGGTATTGCAAGATGGATGCTCTGCCTCACTGGGCCCAACAGCCATTAGATATATTTAGGGGGTGGCTTTGGATCCAACCTCAATGGAGATCCTTTAAGACAGTAGCTACTTTCCTTCAACTTTACATGCAATGTGCCTCCTTGTCAACTGAATGCAGTGCTACTAAGCCCGTGATAACGGCTCCTTCTCAAAATAGCTCCATGGCCATCACTGTCTGGCTTCTTCTTGGGATCTAAGCTGTGCTGCCCTGATACAGAGGAGGATGGCTTTAAGACTCGATGTGGATCAAAGGATTTTACACCGCGTTGTGGGTTAATCCTGGGAGACAGTTAAGCACCACGCAGCCAATACTACCTGCAGCAAAATGAAAGTCAGCAGCAAACAGGTAAAGTTTATATTGGGTGAAGCTGTGCATATTGCTTTTTACAATTATAAGAAAGCAAAGTCTGGTTCCAGAGATGATTATCCCCTGAGCAAGCGAAGCTGCAAAATGCTAGACCAGAACTGCTTAGGAAGGCTAAAGGCAGGCTCAAGATTAAGGCAACATGGCACAAAAAAGCAAAAGTGTTGGGAAAGATGATATGATACTACAAGTACATTGGAGAGGCAGCTCACAAAACCACTTCTCTCCGTTCTTTTACCTATTATCACTAGGTTTATAAAACTTTTTAAGGAAGAAGCTACACATTAAGACTGACATAGGCTAACAACATGCTACGTATTAAGACTGATATAATTTAACATCTTCCTCCCACCAGAGTAACTAGCTACCTTCTCATGCAATAGCTCTGCTGATGCTTGGTCACTTTCTTAGAGTAATTCTACTACTCAGCCATCACAAATCTACTCAGTTTTTGTCAGTTGAGTTGATCTAATCGCCAGAGGCCCAGACAAATGCCAGAGCCAGGACAAGCACTGGAGTACAAGCAGAAGTAGGGAAGTACCAAATACGTGCCCTTTATGGTATCAAGGAATGGTTAAGTAGCTCAGACTTCTTACCCACACCTATTTTCAGATGTTCAACACAGTATCGTTTGAGCACATTTCACAAATTAGGGTTTATCACTGAAATACCTGGTTGAGTAAGAAGAATTATCATCACCATTTTCCACATGCAGAACTGAAATGCACAGATTTCATGACATGTGCAGCTGAGAAATGAATCTAAGTGTGCTGCGTTAGGGACAAATGCCTTAACCATGGTGAACCATGAGTGTAAGAGCCGGAAAACCAATAGTGGAAAGCAAGTATTAAATGAGAACAAAGGAAGGTGAGATCTGAAAATGATATGTCTAGACCTGGGGAGAGAAAAGTCTTACTCTTGGAAGGACTGCTTGTCAAAGTAAAACTGGAAGTGGACAACAGAGACTGTAATGTGCCCTAGTCCAGGGAGAACTGATAGCAGGGCAATATAGGCACAAAAAGGAATGTCACATATCCCAAACCCAGCCCTCAACCCCTGCCCTGAATTTTACACAGTGGGAAGTAGGGGGTAGAGAATTTACTTTGTTTTATTTTAAACATATCAGTGGAAATCAGAGGCTGATAGTATAGAGCTCGGAGCAGTCTAGATTCAAGATTAGTGGAAAGAAATGCTGCACTTTATTGCTTTTTCCAACAAGATAAAGGGCTAACAGTTTTGCCTGTTCAGGACTTAGGTTCTGATGTGCATAAAAACGAAGTAATACAAGGTTTTGTTAGTGCTTTAAGAGTCCAAGATTAAAAGTACAAAATACAGGTTTTATTTACT